ACACTGTTTCGCGTGTCCTCTGGCCTGTCTCACTACAAAGGTCGACGCTGTCCGTTTTACTCGTTCTCTGGTCTGTCTCACTACCCACCCTCGTTGACACCGTTTCGCGTGTCCTCTGGACTGTCTCACTACAAAAGTCGACGCTGTCCGTTTTACACGCTCTTTGACTCGTCTCACTACCCACTCTCGTTGACACCGTCTCGCGTGTCCTCTTGCCTGTCTCACTACAAAAGTCCACGCTGTCCGTTTTACTCGCTCTTTGATCCGTCTCACTACCCACTCTCGTTAACACCGTTTCGCGTGTCCTCTTGCCTGTCTCACTACAAAAGTCGACGCTGTCCGTTTTGCTAGCTCTTTGACCTGTCTCACTACCCACCCTCGTTGACACCGTTTCGCGTGTCCTCTGGCCTGTCTCACTACAAAAGTCGACGCTGTCCATTTTACTCGCTCTTTGACCCGTCTCACTACCCACTCTCGTTGACACTGTTTCGCGTGTCCTCTGGCCTGTCTCACTACAAAGGTCGACGCTGTCCGTTTTACCCGTTCTCTGGTCTGTCTCACTACCCACCCTCGTTGACACCGTTTCGCGTGTCCTCTGCCCTGTCTCACTACAAAAGTCGACGCTGTCCGTTTGACTCTGCTCTTTGACCCGTCTCACTACCCACCCTCGTTGACACCGTTTCGCGTGTCCTCTGGCCTGTCTCATGCTAAAAAGTCGACACTGTCCGTTTTACACGCTCTTTTTGACTCGTCTCACTACCCACTCTCGTTGACATCGTCTCGCGTGTCCTCTTGCCTGTCTCACTACAAAAGTCCACGCTGTCCGTTTTACTCGCTCTTTGATCCGTCTCACTACCCACTCTCGTTAACACCGTTTCGCGTGTCCTCTGGCCTGTCTCACTACAAAAGTCGACGCTGTCCGTTTTGCTCGCTCTTTGACCTGTCTCACTACCCACCCTCGTTGACACCGTTTCGCGTGTCCTCTAGCCTGTCTCACTACAAAAGTCGACGCTGTCCATTTTACTCGCTCTTTGACCCGTCTCACTACCCACTCTCGTTGACACTGTTTCGCGTGTCCTCTGGCCTGTCTCACTACAAAGGTCGACGCTGTCCGTTTTACTCGTTCTCTGGTCTGTCTCACTACCCACCCTCGTTGACACCGTTTCGCGTGTCCTCTGGCCTGTCTCACTACAAAGGTCGACGCTGTCCGTTTTACTCCTTCTCTGGTCTGTCTCACTACCACCCTCGGTGACACCGTTTCGCGTGTCCTCTGGCCTGTCTCACTACAAAAGTCGACGCTGTCCGTTTTACTCGCTCTTTGTCCCGTCTCACTACGCATCCTCGTTGACACCGTTTCGCGTGTCCTCTGGCCTGTCTCACTACAAAAGTCGACGCTGTCCGTTTTACTCGTTCTCTGGTCTGTCTCACTACCCACCCTCGTTGACACTGTTTCGCGTGTCCTCTGGCCTGTCTCACTACAAAAGTCGACGCTGTCCGTTTTACTCGTTCTCTGGTCTGTCTCACTACCCACCCTCGTTGACACCGTTTCGCGTGTCCTCTGGCCTGTCTCACTACAAAAGTCGACGCTGTCCGTTTTACACGCTCTTTGACTCGTCTCACTACCCACTCTCGTTGACACCGTCTCGCGTGTCCTCTTGCCTGTCTCACTACAAAGTCCACGCTGTCCGTTTTACTCGCTCTTTGATCCGTCTCACTACCCTCTCGTTAACACCGTTTCGCGTGTCCTCTGGCCTGTCTCACTACAAAAGTCGACGCTGTCCGTTTTGCTCGCTCTTTGACCTGTCTCACTACCCACCCCTCGTTGACACCGTTTCGCGTGTCCTCTGGCCTGTCTCACTACAAAAAGTCGACGCTGTCCATTTTACTCGCTCTTTGACCCGTCTCTACCCACTCTCGTTGACACCGTTTCGCGTGTCCTCTGGCCTGTCTCGCTACAAAAAAGTCGACACTGTCCGTTTTACACGCTCTTTTGACTCGTCTCACTACCCACTCTCGTTGACATCGTCTCGCGTGTCCTCTTGCCTGTCTCACTACAAAAGTCCACGCTGTCCGTTTACTCGCTCTTGATCCGTCTCACTACCCACTCTCGTTAACACCGTTTCGCGTGTCCTCTGGCCTGTCTCACTACAAAAGTCGACGCTGTCCGTTTTGCTCGCTCTTTGACCTGTCTCACTACCCACCCTCGTTGACACCGTTTCGCGTGTCCTCTAGCCTGTCTCACTACAAAAAGTCGACGCTGTCCATTTTACCTCGCTCTTTTGACCGTCTCACTACCCCTCGTTGACACTGTTTCGCGTGTCCTCTGGCCTGTCTCACTACAAAGGTCGACGCTGTCCGTTTTACTCGTTCTCTGGTCTGTCTCACTACCCACCCTCGTTGACACCGTTTCGCGTGTCCTCTGGCCTATCTCACTACAAAGGTCGACGCTGTCCGTTTACTCCTTCTCTGGTCTGTCTCACTACCCCACCCTCGGTGACACCGTTTCGCGTGTCCTCTGGCCTGTCTCACTACAAAAGTCGACGCTGTCCGTTTTACTCGCTCTATGTCCCGTCTCACTACGCATCCTCGTTGACACCGTTTCGCGTGTCCTCTGGCCTGTCTCACTACAAAAGTCGACGCTGTCCGTTTTACTCGTTCTCTGGTCTGTCTCACTACCCACCCTCGTTGACACTGTTTCGCGTGTCCTCTGGCCTGTCTCACTACAAAAAGTCGACGCTGTCCGTTTTTACTCGTTCTCTGGTCTGTCTCACTACCCACCCTCGTTGACACCGTTTCGCGTGTCCTCTGGCCTGTCTCACTACAAAGTCGACGCTGTCCGTTTTACACGCTCTTTGACTCGTCTCACTACCCACTCGTTGACACCGTCTCGCGTGTCCTCTTGCCTGTCTCACTACAAAAAGTCCACGCTGTCCGTTTTACTCGCTCTTTGATCCGTCTCACTACCCACTCTCGTTAACACCGTTTCGCGTGTCCTCTGGCCTGTCTCACTACAAAAGTCGACGCTGTCCGTTTTGCTCGCTCTTTGACCTGTCTCACTACCCACCCTCGTTGACACCGTTTTGCGTGTCCTCTGGCCTGTCTCACTACAAAAGTCGACGCTGTCCATTTTACTCGCTTTGACCCGTCTCACTACCCACTCTTCGTTGACACTCTTTCGCGTGTCCTCTGGCCTGTCTCACTACAAAGGTCGACGCTGTCCGTTTTACTCTTTTCTGGTCTGTCTCACTACCCACCCTCGTTGACACCGTTTCGCGTGTCCTCTGGCCTGTCTCTCTACAAAGGTCGACGCTGTCCGTTTTACTCCTTCTCTGGTCTGTCTCACTACCCACCCTCGGTGACACCGTTTCGCGTGTCCTCTGGCCTGTCTCACTAAAAGTCGACGTTGTCCGTTTTACTCGCTCTTTGACCCGTCTCACTACGCATCCTCGTTGACACCGTTTCGCGTGTCCTCTGGCCTGTCTCACTACAAAAGTCGACGCTGTCCGTTTTACTCGTTCTCTGGTCTGTCTCACTACCCCACCCTCGTTGACACTGTTTCGCGTGTCCTCTGGCCTGTCTCACTACAAAGGTCGACGCTGTCCGTTTTACTCGTTCTCTGGTCTGTCTCACTACCCACCCTCGTTGACACCGTTTCGCGTGTCCTCTGGCCTGTCTCACTACAAAGGTCGACGCTGTCCGTTTTACCCGTTCTCTGGTCTGTCTCACTACCCACCCTCGTTGACACCGTTTCGCGTGTCCTCTGGCCTGTCTCACTACAAAAGTCGACGCTGTCCGTTTTTTACTCGCTCTTTGACCGTCTCACTACCCACCCTCGTTGACACCGTTTCGCGTGTCCTCTGGCCTGTCTCGCTACAAAAGTCGACGCTGTCCGTTTTACACGCTCTTTGACTCGTCTCACTACCCACTCTCGTTGACACCGTCTCGCGTGTCCTCTTGCCTGTCTCACTACAAAAGTCCACGCTGTCAGTTTTACTCGCTCTTTGATCCGTCTCACTACCCACTCTCGTTAACACCGTTTCGCGTGTCCTCTGGCCTGTCTCACTACAAAGTCGACGCTGTCCGTTTTGCTCGCTCTTTGGCCTGTCTCACTACCCACCCCTCGTTGACACCGTTTCGCGTGTCCTCTGGCCTGTCTCACTACAAAAGTCGACGCTGTCCATTTTACTCGCTTTTGACCCGTCTCACTACCCACTCTCGTTGACACCGTTTCGCGTGTCCTCTGGCCTGTCTCACTACAAAAGTCGACGCTGTCCGTTTTGCTCGCTCTTTGACCCGTCTCCTTTCCACCCTCGTTGACACCGTTTCGCGTGTCCTCTGGCCTGTCTCGCTACAAAGTCGACGCTGTCCGTTTTACACGCTCTTTGACTCGTCTCACTACCCCACTCGTTGACACCGTCTCGCGTGTCCTCTTGCCTGTCTCACTACAAAAGTCCACGCTGTCCGTTTTACTCGCTCTTTTGATCCGTCTCACTACCCACTCTCGTTAACACCGTTTCGCGTGTCCTCTGGCCTGTCTCACTAAAAAAGTCGACGCTGTCCGTTTTGCTCGCTCTTTGACCTGTCTCACTACCCACCCTCGTTGACACCGTTTCGCGTGTCCTCTGGCCTGTCTCACTACAAAAGTCGACGCTGTCCATTTTACTCGCTCTTTGACCCGTCTCACTACCCACTCTCGTTGACACCGTTTCGCGTGTCCTCTTGCCTGTCTCACTACAAAAGTCGACGCTGTCCGTTTTGCTCGCTCTTTGACCCGTCTCACTACCCACCCTCGTTGACACTGTTTCGCGTGTCCTCTGGCCTGTCTCACTACAAAAGTCGAAGCCGTCTGATTTTCTCATTCTCTGGTCTGTCTCACTACCCACCCTCGTTGACATCGTTTCGCGTGTCCTCTGGCCTGTCTCACTACAAAGGTCGACGCTGTCCGTTTTACCCGTTCTCTGGTCTGTCTCACTACCCACCCCTCGTTGACATCGTTTCGCATGTCCTCTGGCCTGTCTCACTACAAAGGTCGACGCTGTCCGTTTTACTCGTTCTCTGGTCTGTCTCACTACCCACCCTCGTTGACACTGTTTCGCGTGTCCTCTGGCCTGTCTCACGACAAAGGTCGACGCTGTCCGTTTTACCCGTTCTCTGGTCTGTCTCACTACCCACCCTCGTTGACACCGTTTCGCGTGTCCTCTGGCCTGTCTCACTACAAAAGTCGACGCTGTCCCTTTTACTCGCTCTTTGACCCGTCTCACTACCCACTCTCGTTGACACCGTTTCGCGTGTCATCTTGCCTGTCTCACTACAAAAGTCGACGCAGTCCGTTTTACTCGCTCTTTGACCCGTCTCACTACCCACCTTCGTTGACACCGTTTCGCGTGTCCTCTGGCCTGTCTCACTACAAAAGTCGACGCTGTCCGTTTTACTCGCTCTTTGACTCGTCTCACTACCCAGTCTCGTTGACACCGTTTCGCGTGTCCTCTTGCCTGTCTCACTACAAAAGTCCACGCTGTCCGTTTTACTCGCTCTTTGACCCGTCTCACTACCCACTCTCGTTGACACCGTTTCGCGTGTCATCTTGCCTGTCTCACTACAAAAGTCGACGCAGTCCGTTTTACTCGCTCTTTGACCCGTCTCACTACCCACCCTCGTTGACACCGTTTCGCGTGTCCTCTTGCCTGTCTCACTACAAAAATCGACGCTGTCCGTTTTGCTCGCTCTTTGACCCGTCTCACTACCCACCCTCGTTGACACTGTTTCGCGTGTCCTCTGGCCTGTCTCACTACAAAAGTCGAAGCCGTCTGATTTTCTCGTTCTCTGGTCTGTCTCACTACCCACCCTCGTTGACACCGTTTCGCGTGTCCTCTGGCCTGTCTCACTACAGAAGTTGCTCTCTCTTTGACCCGTCTCACTACACGGCCCCGTTGATGCTGTCTGCTTCGCTCACAATCTGACCCATCTCGATACCCACTATTTTTCGCCGTTTGTTTATCTCACTATTTTAACTATATCTTAATTGACACCGTCTGTTTGGCTCACTGTCTCGCTAACCCCAGTTTTCACCCGTTCCGTTATCAGTGATGTTTTCCTCTGCTCCTCTCACCCTTCCCGCTACACCCATTGTCACCGTCTGTTTGGCTCACTGTCTCGCTAACCCCATTTTCACCCATCCCGTTGTCTGTGATGTTTTCCTCTGCTCCTCTCACCCTTCTCGCTACACCCATTGACACCGTCTGTTTGGCTCACTGTCTCGCTAACCCCAGTTTTCACCCGTTCCGTTATCAGTGATGTTTTCCTCTGCTCCTCTCACCCTTCCTGCTACACCCAATTGTCACCGTCTGTTTCAAACGCCCATAAACCAGTCAGGCTACCCCTGTTGTCACTATTTCTTTCTATAATACTTCCGGGTATCTTGGCTGCAGGGGTTGAAAAGATACGTTGGGAGAATTAAAAATTTCAGATAAGTAAATACCTAAGTCATTTTCTGAAAGAAATTTGATATTTCTATCAGTGGCGTAGCTAAGGTGGGGCGGGGGGGCGACCCGCCATGGGTGACAGCACAGGAGGGGTGACACAATGTCACCTCCAACAAAATTTTTCAACCAAGCTAAGGTGCCAAAAATAGTCTGAAAACAGTGGTGGAGACACAGGGTTTCGCAGGCGGGCATATGACTCCCCAGAAATAATTTATGACCCCCCCCCAGTTTTGTCACCCCGTCAGAAATTTTCTGATAAATTGTCGGGAAATTTGTGAGTAGGAAAAATAGCAATGTTTTCAGCTTTTGATTTGAACTGATTATTTTGTGGTATTGGATTTTGTCTTGGATCATACATGTAAACAGTAATGTACCGGTCAGTAGAGTAAAGTAGAGGTAGAGCATGTATGAAAATTTAGCTACAGCTAACCATTCAGCATAGGGTGAATCGAGGTCATTGGGGTGACATTTGAGCGGACCGCCCCGGGTGACGTTTATTCTAGCTACGCCACTGATTTCTATCCTCAAAAACCTTTTTCAAGCGTATTTTTATGGTTTTATCCAGTTTATTATTTATGAAAAAATGCATCAATTTTTGTCTGTTTCCGGCTGACCTCGCGTTTTTCTGGCGCTGACTCCGGAAACTGGATTAAAATAGATGTATTTGTAAGAGTGGTTTTTGAGCGAAAGGAGCTTTCAAATGAGTCGAACATTTCACTTTTCATGGATTTTGAACATTTCAGGAATTTGGACATTTCAACCGTGTTCGTTTAAAATTCTCCAAATGTATTTCACTATGATCTCGATTTGGGGAATTTTCTGTTCGCACCATGTCGCAATCATATAATTTAAACTCAACAGACGACGTTTTGTAATTCACTCGCCTTTCACACATTTAACCTGTCCCACTGTCCCAGCTAGTACCATCTTTTTCTCTCAAACCATTGCCCTATCCCACTATCCCAGCTGTCGCAATCTTTTTCTCTTGCACCGTTGCCCCGTCTCATTATCCCAGCTGTCGCCATCTTTTTCTCTTGCACCGTTGCCCAGTCTCACTATCCAAGCTGTCGCCATCTTTTTCTCTTGCACCGTTGCCCAGTCTCACTATCCCAGCTGTCGCCATCTTTTTCTCTCACAACTTTTCTCCACCCCACTATCCAAGTTATCGCCATCTTTTCTCTTTGCACGTTGCCCCTGTCCCACTATCACAGTTGTCGCCATCTTTTTCTCTCACAACTTTTCCCCACCCCACTATCCCAGCTATCGCCATCTTTTTTCTTTGCACCGTTGCCCCTGTCTCACTATCCCAGCTATCGCCATCTTTTTCTCTTGCACCGTTGCCCTGTCTCACTATCCCAGCTATCGCCATCTTTTTTCTCTTTGCACCGTTGCCCCGTCTCACTATCCCAGATATCGCCATCTTTTTCTCTTTGCACCGTTGCCCCCGTCTCACTATCCCAGCTATCGCCATCTTTTTTCTCTCAAATTTTTTTCCCCACCCCACTATCCCAGCTATCGCCATCTTTTTTTTCTTGCACCGTTGCCCTGTCTCACTATCCCAGCTATCGCCATCTTTTTTCTCTCACAACTTTTCCCCACCCCACTATCCAAGCTATCGCCATCTTTTTTCTCTTGCACCGTTGCCCCGTCTCACTATCCCAGCTATCGCCATCTTTTTCTCTTTGCACCGTTGCCCTGTCTCACTATCCCAGCTATCGCCATCTTTTCTCTTGCACCGTTGTCTCTGTCTCACTATCCCAGCTATCGCCATCTTTTTTTTTTGCACCGTTGCCCTGTCTCACTATCCCAGCTATCGCCATCTTTTTCTCTCACAACTTTTTTCCCACCCCACTATCCCCAGCTATCGCCATCTTTTTCTCTTGCACCGTTGCCCTGTCTCACTATCCCAGCTATCGCCATCTTTTTTCTTGCACCGTTGCCCTGTCTCACTATCCCAGCTATCGCCATCTTTTTTTCTTGCACCGTTGCCCCGTCTCACTATCCCAGCTATCGCCATCTTTTCTCTCACAACTTTTCCCCACCCCACTATCCCAGCTATCGCCATCTTTTCTCTCTGGCTTTTCCCCACCCCACTATCCCAGCTATCGCCATCTTTTTCTCTTGCACCGTTGCCCCGTCTCACTATCCCAGCTATCGCCATCTTTTTCTCTCACAACTTTTCTCCACCCCACTATCCAAGCTATCGCCATCTTTTTCTCTTGCACCGTTGCCCCGTCCCACTATCACAGTTGTCGCCATCTTTTTCTCTCACAACTTTTCCCCACCCCACTATCCAAGCTATCGCCATCTTTTTCTCTTGCACCGTTGCCCCGTCTCACTATCCCAGCTATCGCCATCTTTTTCTCTTGCACCGTTGCCCCGTCTCACTATCCCAGCTATCGCCATCTTTTTCTCTTGCACCGTTGCCCCGTCTCACTATCCCAGCTATCGCCATCTTTTTCTCTTGCACCGTTGCCCCGTCTCACTATCCCAGCTATCGCCATCTTTTTCTCTTGCACCGTTGCCCCGTCTCACTATCCCAGCTATCGCCATCTTTTTCTCTCACAACTTTTCCCCACCCCACTATCCCAGCTATCGCCATCTTTTTCTCTTGCACCGTTGCCCCGTCTCACTATCCCAGCTATCGCCATCTTTTTCTCTCACAACTTTTCCCCACCCCACTATCCAAGCTATCGCCATCTTTTTCTCTTGCACCGTTGCCCCGTCCCACTATCACAGTTGTCGCCATCTTTTTCTCTCACAACTTTTCCTCATCCCCCTATCCCAGCTATCCCCATCTTTTTCTCTCACACCTTTGCCCTATCCCCCTATCTCAACAACTATTGCCGTCTTTTCTCTCGCACATTTGCCCCGTCTCACTATCGCATTTTAAACAACCAAGTAGAAAACTTTCACAACCAGGATATAAGAAAAGGAAACAAACAAATAATAATAAGGAGGTCAAAAGTTCACCATTTCTAAAAATAGTTTGACCAACCAATCAGATAAAGATTTCACAACCAGGATATAGACCACAAGTCAATGAGAAGCAGAGCGGCCTTTTAAGCTAATCTATAGATGTGTATGTAACCAGTTGGAAAATCTATCAGAATCAGAGTTGATAAATTAATTTTGTCCATTCTCCAATGCCGCGGTCATCGTAACATTACAGAGACGAAATACGACATTTCCACGACTAGCTGGTGACCTTAGATGGTTGAACTGTCCCTGCTACATTGAAAAGAAACACACCTCCCTTCACCACATTGTCAAGCAGCGGCTACTATATTTGCATATGCACAACATAAAATTTCTACTTAACAGACAACGTTTTATAATTCACTCTCCTTTCACATATTTAACCTGTCCCACTATCCCAGCTAGTTTCATCTTTTTCTGTCGCACCTTTGTTCCATCCTACTACCCCATCTGGCGCCATCTTTTTCTCTCACAACATCGCGCTGTCCCATTATCCCAGCTATTTTTTAGAAATGGTGAAATTTCACCATTTCTAAAAATAGTTTGTCCAATCAATCAGAAAGATTTCACAACCAGGATATGGACCACAGGTCAATGAGACACAGAGCGCCCCTTTTAAACAAATCTATGGCTGTGTATATAACCAGTTGGAAAATCAACCAAAATCAGAGTTGATAAATTAATTTTGTCCATTCTCTAATACCGCGGTCATCGTAACATAACCAATGACGAAATACGACATTCCCACGACTAGCTGGTGACCTTAGATGGTTAAACCGTCCTTGCTACATTGAAAACGAACACACTTCCCTTCACCACATTGTCAAGCAGCGGCTATTACATTTACATACATACATACATACATACATACATACATACATTTACTTTCACGTTTTCCTTATCTCACTTATGTGCCAGGATTTCTATATTTGGACTCTTGAAAATTTAACTTTCACCTTATCCATCTATATTATTATATTGTTATATAAAGATTTATTTTGTATTTATCAACATTGTGCATTATCTTTTAATCATTACACTAGCCCAATATATATCTAAATCAAATGTACTGATATTTGGTGGAAACGGATTTTGTCAATTGTTTTACCATAACTAACTGCTAACTGATAACCTCATATCGCTCATAAACATACACTTACAATTCATTTTAGAAAAGGTCAGTCAATTATGTGATCGCTTAAGCGATCATGCATCTTTTGATACATGACTGATGATTTTTTTTCCACAGTAGGTTGCCATTTCTTTCTGCGATAGACCAGTTGCCATCCGAGGCTATAGAATTCGGTCTGTCCTGCTATTTACCCATAGCTGGAAGGAGGAGAGAGAAGAAGATTCATTCACGTGCTAATACCCTTTCCCAAGGGTATCAGTACGTAAGTGAATGTAATGGATTCGACTGGAAGTCGAACTCGGCTCTCCGATTCCTCAATCCGAGCCGCTATCCATTACTCCATCGTGCCTCCAGAAAAAAAAGGTACACTTACTTATTTAATAGTGAAAATCTTGAGAGGGTCACTGGGTCTTAAATAATTTTTTTTCAAACGGAACCAGATAAAAGTGGCTTTAAGTGAATGAAAGTTGTAGGTCTTAATGAGGACCATCCATCTTCAAACCTCGTGGACTGGCGCTACAGAATCATTAAGAACTGTACCAAGTGACAGAAACCAGATCACTTGAAGAATTTCAACAATAGCAACAACTAAAATGAGTAGTACATGTAAATAAAAGAAGAAATAATGACATAATCATGTTGTTGACATTCCACCCTACTTCTAACAAAAGGTTAGGACGGAAACTCTCATCAATACTGGAAAGAGCAATAACAGCTACTGGGCTCGAGGAGAGAAAATAATGACATAATCATGTTGTTGACATTCCACCCTACTTCTAACAAAAGGTTAGGAAGGAAACCCGCGTCAGCACAAGAAAGAGCAATAACAGTTACTGGACTCAAATTAATTTTCCTGAAAGAATTGTTTTAATAGAAAGGTTTTATAAATTTCAAATGAAAGTAGCACTGGCTGCTCGGTCAATGAATGCCGAATGTTTCCTTATAATGAAACGGTGAACATTACCATTACCATTAGCGATGTCAAGAACTGATATTACACTTTGATCCCAGTGTGATGGCAATGGAGTGAAGAAAGTAACACTAGCTATTCAATCAATGAGTGCCGAACGTTTCCTTATAAGGAAACAGTGTATATCACTATTTCTGTATCTCATATCTTGGATTGTCTCTTTTGCTGACAACCATGCATTTTATCTTCTATTTAACCATTAGTCCTTTCTTCTTGCTTTCCTTCACTAATATCTATTTTATCTAATAGTTCTATCAGTATACCTTTTGAGTCTGCCAACAACAACACAATGTCATCTACATACCTTATGTTTAATTCTTCCTCCTCCTCCTCCTCTTGGTTACTGATTAAACTACACTCAAGAATATTAGGTCACAGCCTGTACACACTAGGGCCATAGCCTCACTACCCCAGGTTTTGCTGCTGTGGTTTCCTTAACAAATAGGTTTTTGCAGGATGAAATTGCTAGCCCCACATCTAACCAGTTTTGAATACAGTTATCTCTCTCCTAGACTGTTTACCAATCAAGGTCTGTCCTGCTATTTAACCCATAGCTGGAGGGAGAATAGATAGGTTCATCCCTTTCCCGAGGGAGTTTATGAGAAAATGAATGCAACAAACTTGGCAGGAATTGAACTCAGCAATTCAATATCAATTTTGCACTGTAAACAGCATGTATAGGGTGCGATGGGTAAATTGTCGCCATTTTATATTTTTAATTTCCTGAATTGTTTGTTGTTTGTTTTTGATTTTGTCAACTGCACAGTATAGTAGGATCAGTTGGGCACCATGTGTGAAAAAAGAGCACCATGATGCCAGAAATTTGGAAACAGCATGCTGTACTGTTTGGCATTCGCACCAGAAGCTCAAATAAAACCATTTCAGAGTGTTTAGATGTCATTCTGAGGACAGTACAGAGGATTCAGAAAGAGTTGGATGAGTCTAATGGTGATTACAAAGGTGTTTGGAGTGATTGCAAGTGGTGGCAACACTATGCCTCCATTCATCTTCCCACGGGACGTCAGACTCAAAACAGAGGCCTACATCAAGTGGTTTGAGGAGGCAGTGTTGCCCTGGATCAAGAGTGTGGCTGCTGGAAGACCCTATGTCTCACAACAGGACTCTGCACCATGCCACACAAGCAGGAGGACCCAGTCATGACTGTCTGACAATTTCTGAAGCCACATCACCCCTTACAGCTGGCCACCTAACTCCCCAGACTGCAAACCCCTTGATTATTATGTGTAGGGTGTAGTTGAGCAAGAGGCCAACAAAACTCCTTTTAACACCAAAGATAAACTAAAGGCAAGGATTATGGCAGCATTTACCAACTGTCCAGAAGAGTTGCAGAAGATTCCGTAGTCGTCTGGAGGCCGAGGTTGAAGCTAGTGGTGATTTTATTGAATAAATTTACTCTTTTGTATTTCAAGATATTTTTGTGTAATTTTGGTAAATAAAACTGTTAACATGAGATGTCAGTGTTATTTTCATTTTCACGTAATTTAGATGACAATTGATCCATCGCAGCCTGTATATCCCTATGTTAAAATGATTATAAATTAGTTATTTCTTATAAATGAATGTGGGGGTGGTCTAATGGATAGTGCCTCAAAATGAAAAAACGGAGAGCCAAGTTCAAATCCCAGTTGGGTTTGTTACATTCAGTTATGTGTGAACACCCTTGGGATAGACATGAACCTATTGGCCTCCCCAAAGATAGGTTAAATGGTAGTACTTGTATTTGGAAAAATTATTGTTATTAGTAAAGTCCCCATATTACAAACATTTCTCTAAATAATAATTTAAAAATTATTCAGCAGCCAATGTTATTTTATTTATGGTAATTGGTTTTTGGGCATTGACTTATTTGGTTTCTATAGTTCAGTACCATGATTTCGAAAAATGGTATTTTTATCATGGTTGCCTTTACATCTCAGACTTTCGGCTAAAAACAAAGTGTAGTATCTGTTCTTATCAGCTTAATTTGATTCTCTATCTCCACTTCTATTTTCTCTTTCTTTCTTTCATTTTCTCACTGATACCATACAGTGTCTTCTCCCCTCTTTCCATGTGATCAAAATGGAATAGTCTATTATTTATGAGGTATTGGCAGGGCGTAACGGTCGTGCGAACTAACAAAGGGAAGAACAAGCACAATTATAACAGGATTCTGAAAATTGTTAATGCAATATTCATTCACAGAAAAATGAATTATTCTTACAATCCAAAATACATTTCACCTTTAAATAACCCACAAAAGGTTTAAATGAACAATTCACCCTTGCATGGAATACTGCTGCCATATATGGTCTGGTGCCCTCGCTGTTTGCCTTAAGGTCCTCGACAAGATCCAGAGATGGATAATCAATGTGGTTGGTCCTGATCTGGCATCTCCTCTACAGTCGCTCTCTCACAGACGTGCCATCGCCTACCTCTGTATTTTCTACAAATACTTTCATGGTAACTGCTCCGAAGAGCTACTTTCACCAGTTCCCAGACTGCATGAATTTTAGCATGCTACTAGGTTGGCATCTGTCCCACCCTTTCACTGTCAAAACGGTTAAATGTCACCGTCTCTTCTACTCCAACAGCTTCATGTCTCGCACCTCCTGTCTGTGGAATTCCCTTCCTATTACTTGTTTCCCTGATAGCTATAATCTCCAACTATTCAAATGTAATGTCAATCGACATCTCCAGATGCCCTGACCTATTCCCTGTCCTTCACTTCATCCTTTCCTCCATCACGCGTCTTTACTCTCGTTCCCACTCTTTAATCCCTTGTGTACTAGTATCAGTTAATTCTCCTCTCCAA